GTGGAGGACGTGAATGAGAGCATGCAGCAAGTTATGTGAGTTCAAACGTGAACGGTTCTGTGTGCGACGGAATCCGTGACTGTGGTGCTTAAGACGGGAACATGTGTGGAAAACAGGAGAAAACTAATCGAAGCGCAGACGAGGGACAACTTTGAAACTGTCTGGAGTGTGTTCCTTTAAAACTGCAGCAGTGAATGTGGTGAGCGCGAACTGGAAACAGCTGGAATGGCGCATGAGACGAGTCTATCCGTGTTTGCGGTGTATTTACCCTGTAACTACGTGGAACAAGGGGGGAACAAAGCACCACTTTATTTTACAGCCCGCAAATGTTGTATTTACCCTGTAACTACGTGGAACAAGGGGGGAACAAAGCACCACTTTAATTTACAGCCTGCAAATGTTGTATTTACCCTGTAACTACGTGGAACAAGGGGGGAACAAGCACCACTTTAATTTACAGCCCGCAAATGTTGTATTTACCCTGTAACTACGTGGAACAAGGGGGGAACAAGCACCACTTTAATTTACAGCCCGCAAATGTTGTATTTACCCTGTAACTACGTGGAACAAGGGGGGAACAAAGCACCACTTTAATTTACAGCCCGCAAATGTTGTATTTACCCTGTAACTACGTGGAACAAGGGGGGAACAAAGCACCACTTTAATTTACAGCCCGCAAATGTTGTATTTACCCTGTAACTACGTGGAACAAGGGGGGAACAAGCACCACTTTAATTTACAGCCCGCAAATGTTGTATTTACCCTGTAACTACATGGAACAAGGGGGGAACAAAGCACCACTTTAATTTACAGCCCGCAAATGTTGTATTTACCCTGTAACTACATGGAACAAGGGGGGAACAAAGCACCACTTTAATTTACAGCCCGCAAATGTTGTATTTACCCTGTAACTACGTGGAACAAGGGGGGAACAAAGCACCACTTTAATTTACAGCCCGCAAATGTTGTATTTACCCTGTAACTACATGGAACAAGGGGGGAACAAAGCACCACTTTAATTTACAGCCCGCAAATGTTGTATTTACCCTGTAACTACATGGAACAAGGGGGGAACAAAGCACCACTTTAATTTACAGCCCGCAAATGTTGTATTTACCCTGTAACTACATGGAACAAGGGAGGAACAAGTTGGACAAACACAGAACAAGTGTATATTTGCACAGTAATTACAGAGAAAATTATTGCACTAGTTTTAATTTAATTGTTCGATGGCCAAATTAACCCCTCTACATTTTTTTTGCTATAAAAACACCACAGTATACATCCACTGAAATACAAATGTTGTATCATGTATTTTTTCTGCGAACAGCAGGTAAGCTTGTTTTAAGCTGCATTGAACCTTGATGGTATATCATGGAAAGTTATTTGGTGATAGTGGTGTTGAGAAGTTGCTGGTGTGAAGTTGCTGAAATCGACGAATAAGCTTTCATAAGGTAAGTAGACTCATGAATTATAAATCATAGCAGAAAATCATTAACTAATTTCACTACATGTCCAGTTTTGTTGTTCAGTAATCTCCATCATGTCCATCCTTTAATAATAGAATGTGTACCCCATGGTTAAAAAATACCTATACGCCTATAATAAAATACCAATATAAAATTATAAAAAGTATATATCGTCTTTCTAAATCATTCCCAAACATAAGATTGTTGTTTAGGCCATACATACCACGTAATATTAGAATAAGCACCTCTTAGTTTCAAAATAATTTGACAGGTTGTTACCCCTTTATTCCCCAAACTTCGCATATTATTCCCTTATACCTACACGGAGGTACTGAATAGGTACACTTTAATTACAAAAAAAGTTACACTGCAACTTCAGTTTACTTACGCAATTCTTTGCAGGTTGCATATCTGGTTGTTACCCCCTTATTACCCAAATGTAACACATTATTCCCTTATACCTACACGTGTGTTCTTTATAGGTACACTGTAATTACAGAAACGTACACCGTAAATTCAGTATACTTACATAGTTCTTTGCGGGTTGTAATCTAAAGCGTTACCAAAAAGTCTTATAATAAGTAAATAACATGCAGCACACTTCAATGGCACGTTGTGAAGATAGGAAATACAGTTTAATTTCTACATCAAGGTTACTAAATATCATATGTTAAAATATATGCTGTCTGTTATAAAATGTTGTAAATACAGATTCTAATTAATAAAGCAACTTATCGTTTTTTTTAAATTTAGGAATAAGTCGCAGGGACACTTTTGTACATCCTCTCACCACAAGGAAGAATACATAGAGAAGGTTATATGCCACAGATCACAACATCCAACCAAACAGAGAGGACGCATCTTGCCGGCCAGATTTGTGATTATGGAAACCAAAACTAACAGCAGAATGGACACTGTGAACACTTCTCTCGCTGATTCCACAGAGATGAGGACTGGAATAAGTAGTTTAATGGAAAAATTTACGGACGAGAGTTTAGGGCACGGCAGGGTCTTCGTGCGTAATTTTGGAGACGCGGAGTCTTTATGCAGCAGCGCGCCTGGATCAAGCAGCGACGCTCTGGATCTTTGCCGGCCAGATTTGTGATTATGGAAACTAAAACTAACAGCAGAATGGACACTGTGAACACTTCTCTCGCTGATTCCACAGAGATGAGGACTGGAATAAGTAGTTTAATCGAAAAATTTACGGACGAGAGTTTAGGGCACGGCAGGGTCTTCGTGCGTAATTTTGGAGACGCGGAGTCTTTATGCAGCAGCGCGCCTGGATCAAGCAGCGACGGTCTGAATCAGCTCTCTTTTCTTGACTTGCCTCTCGGTACCAAAACGTATACTGACCAAATGGATGAATTTCTGAAAGTAGAAAGCGGACAGTGGAGCGCAAAAGCGCTTCTGCCCAAGGAGACAGATGTTTCGGAGAGTGCGTTTATCAAAGATGAGAATGAGCAGTCTCTCATTATGGAGCCACCCAACACTGATTTCGACCTCGGCTTAAACATCAGCGCCTTGGAAAGCTGCTACGACCCAGCCGAAAAGAAACAGCAGTGTGACTTTATTGAGGACTCGTCAACTTTGCTCTCATCTCAAGCTGCCAAACAGGTGGTTGTGGACAGTTATTCTCTCTTTCAGTTGGACATGAATCAATCTACATTGCTTTTGCCAACTCCGAGAAGAGTATCGCCTTTTCTCGGTAGAGGTATGTTGAATTTCGATGGAGCGAGCGCAGCTACCACGATGTCCAAAACGGACATTTCCAAATGGGTTTCACCCGCGGAATCCCCGTTCTGGTATCCAACCACTAATGAAGAGCTCGCTGGATACTCTTCACCAGATGGGTTCATCTCGCGCTCACAGACAGTCTACACGGCATTCCCAGGGTAAGAATATGTCATGTATGTTGTGCCTCCTTAAAAATGTAATTTAAGCAAAATAAAGCTGAATTGTCGGAATTTAAAGAAGTAGAATTAAAATTATGTGTGTAGTTTTAATTTAATTATTCAGAATAATAATTATTTTGGAAGTGTCACCTTTACAAATTTGTATTTATATGTCACTATATTTAAATAAATTAACTTTAACAATTTTATTTTCCATAATAGATCAAGTTCTCTGTTGTAACCCAGTGTCTTCAAAATGGAGCCAAATGGAAATTCTAAACAAAAGATTTAGCAAGTCATCTCTTCTTGCCCATTTTGTGTTTGTTCTGCTTGACCAAATTTGACACCATGGTTGTGGGTTGTGGCCAGATCATTGTGAATTCCTCTTATGAATTGAATAGTAACAAATAAAATAATGGGTTATGCACTGTAAAAAGAATATTACAAAATGATATGATGATATATATATATATATATATGCCCATTTTTACATTTATATATTACATTGGTGTGAGCCAGAACCCAATTCTTTCTAGGAGCAGGACTGAGCACATCTAGTTCAGCACTGAATGAGCTAACCATTAAAAAAAGAAAGAAAGTCAGAAAGTCACTTGGACACTTTTGGACCACTTAGAAATGTGTGTATGTCATTGCAAACAGTAGAGCATGGTGCTAGCAATGCCATGGTCATGGGTTCAATTCCCAGGAAAAGCAAGAACTGATAAACTGTACCTTGAATGCAATGTAAATTGCTTTGGATAAAAGTGTAAATTCTTAAATGTAAAATATCAAAGTAACATCTGCAGGTTTAAAACCATTTGGTCCAAATACACCATTGTTGTTCAGGATGTGTTTTGGTTATACCATCCATAGAATATTGTGTCTCGCTTACATTCAGGGTTCCAGCTCAAAGACTGTGTGTTATATGTGGAGAGGAGGCTTCGGGTTGCCACTATGGAGTTCTTACCTGTGGAAGCTGCAAGGTGTTTTTCAAGAGAGCTGTTGAAGGTGAGCAAGACTGGGCTAAAACTATCGTTAACGGTCAAAATATAATAATCTGTCTTTGTCATGGGGTATATTGAAGACGCCATGAACTTTGCAGACTGCAGTTTTTCTCTCCTGCATTGGCCCTGTCCCAAATCGTACCCTAAACCCTCGCGGTCTTCCTCCGAGTCCGCACTTTCGTGACGTAATGCCGCTTTGACTGTCGGGTAGAAGTCTGCTGCGGAGCTCGCCCCAGTGCGGGCTCAGCAGAAGTGCGCATCGAGGGCGCATAGCGGCCGCAGAGGGGGCGCTCGCGAGCACCCTTTTGAACGCTAAAATGACGAATGGGACGCGGCGGCCATCGTAAGTCTGCAAGACCGAAAGTGCACATGAATGCCTTGTCCAAATACCCACGTCTTTGCACTTGACCACTTGACTACTTATATGACGTATTTCCTGTATTTGGCCCAAGTGTTCAAGTGAGCATGAAGACCGCAAGCGTGTGTACAACTTTTCATTACCTGATGGGACACACTTATAGTGGTGTAAAAACGCAAAGTGTTTACAGAGTTTTATTATTATTTTCAATACTTTGCATTTTAAAATCAACTTATAAATGTCTGTTCAGTAGTCCCTATAGATGACACAATTTAATTAAGTGATAAAAAAAACAGTTGCAAATGTTGTACAAAAATAAATATAGTAATCTTTGCAGCAATAAAATGTGTAGCACTTTGTTTTACCACCAAGTGCTTTGGTATTTTTAAGACCTGGGACGGTCTTGCGCACTTACTTCCTGTCGGGCGCACGCGCTCTCAAGTGGCCAAGACCGCAAGTGTTCCATTTGGGACAGGGCCATTGATGTATTTCGTAAACAGGAAACCTCCCAAATTTAAGACATATTTAAGGGCTAGCCAATAGGCTTCAGTTACCTCACAGCCATGAGCATGATTTGCTACTGGCTAGAAGATGATATAGGGGCGGGGATCTCATTTTAAAGAGCATTTGATTGGACAAAAATTAGCATTTTCCAAGTAGACCAGTGGTTCGCAAACCTGTCCTGGAGTACCCCCAGCCCTGCACATTTTGTATGTCTCCCTCATCTATCACACCTGATTCAACTCATCAGCTCATTAATGGAGACTGCAAGACCTGAAGTGGGTGTGTCAGATATAGGGATACATACAAAATGTACAGTGCTGGGGGTACTTCATGGAGAGGTTTGAGAACCACTGTAGTAGACCAATAATTATTATTATTATTTTTTGTAAATGTGCACACATGCTAAATGTTAGTATTTCCAATTTTATGGAACACACTAGCATATAGTAGATGGCCTGAAAGCAAACAAAAGATGTTAACGGTAAGCTACAAAACAGAAATTGTGGTTGCATGTTTTTTTTATTTTTCTATATATATATATTTTCAGTGTTTTGTAAAGTGTTGTTCACTCAGAAACCTTTATATCATGTTTCAATGTATGTGAGTCACGGTGTATACAGTGTCCCAGAAGACTGTTATTATCATTTGGACCAATGTTCACCGTGTTCTTTCTCTGACTTGTTATTCTTCTTATCACTGAGGACAGATATGTAAGAGCCACTATGTCTGACCATGGCCATGTCACTATGCCCTGTCAGCCTTGCTGCAAACCAATTTACTGTTCTCTTTTTTTTTCTCCTCGTACTCTCCAAATCATCCTCCTTTAAAAATAACATGTTCCTCCAGTGACTTCCGGTGGAGAACTGGAATCAATTATGTGCATCTGTGTTGACAGATTTTTTTCTCACATAAGTTTAATCATTTTTCTTCAAGTGTTGAGAATTTTTTTGTCTCTTGTCTAGGTCACCATAACTACCTGTGTGCTGGACGGAACGACTGTATTGTTGATAAAATCAGGAGGAAAAACTGCCCTGCATGTCGTCTTAGAAAGTGCTACCAGGCAGGGATGATGCTTGGAGGTATCTTTTATGTGACTCATTTTTTGTACATATTAGGTTTTGTATTTATATATTAAATATATAATTTGTCAAGCTTCTTGGACTTAATGGACAGTCGTACTTTAAGATGTTGAATATTTTCCAAAGGCCAGTCATACCAAGGTTCCATTTGTTAACTTTAGTTATCTATAGCAGTTAGCATAAACTAACAATGAAAAATACTTATAAGGCATGTATTAATATTGGTTAATGTTAGTTCCAACATTTACTGATAAATTATTAAAATGAGAAGTCTGTCAAAAAATGATTTAATGGACCTGAGCTAATCTAAATTACCAATGAACAGTTGGGTTTTATTAAAATTTACAAAGATAAAGTTAAATATTGCTAGTAACAATAATTAAAGGGACTTTATTGTAAAGTATTTTAAAGTAGTGTAAAGGGAATTAAAGTACATTTAAAGTCATTTATTCGCCCTTGTGTTGTTCCAAACCCAACGGACTTTCTTCAGTGTAACACAAAAGAAGATTTTTAACACAGTGACTGAGCTTCTTCTTTCTATACAATGAAAGTGAATGGGGACTGGGGCTGTCAGTGATCAAAAAAGTTCCATAGAGTTGTTCAGATTACTCATGCACTATTTTCAAAGTCTCCCGAAGTCATACAGTAGTATTTGTGTGAGGAACAGACTGAAATCTTCTCAAATCACTTTGATGCTTGTTGAATGAGCACCAGTTCCCATTTGGTTTAATTGTATGCACACAGCAGTTTGGACATTCTGCTAAAGTTCTCCTTTTGTGTTCCACCAAAAAAAAAAAAAAAAAATTTGATCACTAGGAGGTGTCAATGATATCTTTGGATAAACTATGTCTTAATCTGAAAATAAATATATTTATAAACCCTCAGCTTCTCACACAAACATATTTTCCGCATTTAAAGAAATTGTGACCTTCAAGATCAAGCAACACTCTGGCTTCCGCCCTAAAGACTCACAACAATTGATTAATTTTATAATGTGCAGTAGCATATCAAATAAAGTGACAAGATGATCAAGGCGGCCCCTCATTCCAGTACATTTGTGTGTTTCAGGCCGTAAAATGAAGCGGTTTGCGGGTTTGAAGGTCATGGGGTTGAATCCATCGCTGATGTTCCAGGGTCCGTTGTCCCTGCTGGCTGATGGTCAAACTGTGTCCTCCATGCCCTGCATGCCAGTGATCCGTGAGCTGCAGCTGTCCCTGCAGATGATCAGCATTCTGGAGAGCATTGAGCCACAGATGGTTTACTCTGGCTACGACAGCTCGCAACCAGAGCTCCCTCACCTTCTCCTCAACAGTCTCAACAGACTCTGCGAGAGGCAGCTGCTCTGTATTGTCAGATGGACCAAGTCTCTTCCAGGTAACACCCTTACAATCAGCCTAATAAACATCTCAGGTTACACTTTTAAAGGGGTCATATGACGTTGCTAAAAAAAGAACATTATTTTGTGTATTTGGTGTAATGCAATGTGTTTATGCAGTTTAAGGTTCAAAAAACACATTATTTTCCACATACTGTACATTACCACTGATGCCGCGGGAAAACGCGAGTTTTGAGCAGTGTAGAGTAGCGCTTGTTTGTAATTTCTCCGATCACAAATGCAGACATGGTTTTATGTTTACGCGGCACGATGCAACACGTAAAAAGACAGTATAAGTCATTATAATCCGTAATTATGTCCCCACTGGATGCAACAAATGCCTTGTTTATAATGGGTTTTAATGTTTTTGTCTCATCGCTCCGGCCGGACAGGGCATCACAGTATGTTAAGGGGCGTAACATTTCCTTCACACGCTTGAGGTATTCGGCCAATCACAACGCACTGGATAGCTGGCCAATCACAACCAATAATGTACAGTATGTGGAAAATAATGTGTTTTTTGAACCTTAAACCGCATAAACACATTTCATTACACCAAATACACAAAATAATGTTCTTTTTAGCAACATCATATGACCCCTTTATTGGAATCTAGAATTCTGGTTCCGTGAAGAACCATTAACCGTGGAAACTTTCCATTACACAAAAGGTCCTTTATAATGGAAAAAACGTTCTTCAGATTAATAAAATATTCTTCACACAAAGAAGAAAATTGTTCTTTTAAGAACTGTTCACTGGTTATTTGTGGAACCCAAAATGGTTCTTCTACGGCATTGCTGCGAAAACCTCCTTTTGGAACCTTCATTTTAAAGAGTGAGTTCAAAGGCTTTACAGTGTTAAAGATTTTTTTTGTACTTCTGTGTTTAACAGGTTTTCGCAATTTGCACATCAATGACCAGATGACATTAATCCAGTATTCTTGGATGGGTTTAATGTTGTTCTCACTGGGTTGGAGAACCTTTCAGAATGTCACCACTGATTACTTGTACTTTGCGCCTGATCTCGTCTTGAGCCAGTAAGTAACAGTAAAGACAACTGAATTAAAATCTTTTAAAGAGTGAAGACCCCTAGTATGCTTCAAGCAAAATTGGTAAACAAATTGGTATGACGTCTTTTCGAAACAAAATCAGGCCAAAACAAAGTTTGTTTAGGATTTCATAACAGCTTGCCGAAACAAAATTTATGGAAACACATTTAAACTGCCATTGGTCTGTGGCAATTACATAATTGTAATTTCAACTGAAAGCAACACTGACACTGTTTTTTCATTTTTTATGGTAAATTTGCTTGCACTCAAACAATTGTATGCAATATGTAAGTTCTATAAATAAATGTGACCTGACTTGACTTGACTAGAGTACTGAATTGCAGAGCTGGTGCAAACATATCCAAGCGATCAGATGCTTTCTTAAATACTGCTTTCTCACCGTTTTCATTTATTTGTTTATTGTGCTCTTAAGAGAATAGTTCACAGCACATATTTGCTCGCTAACAGTATACCGCTGCTCAGGTATATCAAACGTCCAAGCAAAGAACGAAAAAGAACTCCACTGTGAGTAAATCAGGGGCTTTATGTATCTTTACCTATTTTGTACTCTATTTCTGGAAAGTGCCTGGCAATTAGAATCCTAATAGATACATTCAATTAACAGTTTTATATACTGTGCAGTAAACAACAGACATTTAGATATGCATATACTCAGTATTCTCATATTGCTGTTTAAATTTTAGAGATCAGATGAGGAGGTCTCCGATCTACGACTTGTGCTTGGCTATGCAGTTTGTTCCACAGGAATTTGCCAACTTGCAAGTGACCAAAGAAGAGTTTCTGTGCATGAAGGCTTTGATGCTCCTCAACACTGGTAATAAATCCTCTCTGACCCATAAAACTCTTAGCGACTGACCCTCTACAGGTCAGACCGGTGTTCCAGAATGGGATATTAACAATCTGGACAATTTTAAACCAATGGCCCCATGCCAGTCTGCATGGATTGACAGAGATACATATTTGGCAAACTGCGAGGCCTTGAAAAGTCCAACTAAGTTTCAATTCCAAGCTAACATTTTTCAAATTAGAACAACAGTAATGCCAATGCAGCCTTCCAATTGAGCTGACTACAACATTATTTTACTGATAGAATGTTTCAGTCGACAATATAAGTAACTGTGTAACTAAGTTAAAAAGTAATATCAAAGATGTGTTTAGATGGTAAACCTCATTCTGTAAAACTGGCAATGTAGGACGCTGTCAGTGAAGATATTTTTTACGGTTTACAGAGATATCTCATCAGTGATTTATAGAAGGAACATTTAATTTATCTGTAACATTAATGCTGTGGTAAACTCTAACATGACCTTTGGCAGTGGTGTATCGGTAATGATTTAACATGATATATTTGTGACAGTTCCTCTGGAAGGCTTGAGGAGTCAAACACACTTTGATGAAATGAGACAGAACTACATCTGTGAGTTGACGAAAGCCATCCAGCTGAAGGAGAAAGGAGTGGTGGCCAGCTCCCAGAGATTCTACCATCTGACCAAAATCATGGACGCCATGCACGAGGTACACATATACAAAAAAAAAAAAATATATATACAAAAGGGAGCTATAGACTAAACATGGGTCGTTTTTATAGGAAATATTTGAGAGAGGAAAAATAATTTGAAAAGGTAGCTGCTGAGCTTTTTCAAGAAATCCTGTTTTTCTACCTCAGTCCCAATGTAAAAGCATTGCAACACAATGAAACTTAAGGCCTGTTCACAACAAGAATGATAACTACACTCTAAAAAGAAGTGTTGGGGACCTATTAACACAACTTAAATGAATGTATGGTTGCAAGTTAAAAATGTAAATTTATTGATTTAAGTAAACCTTTAAAAGTTGCAAACATTATGGTAATGTCGATCATTATATCATCTCAATATTGTTTGCAATTTAAGAAGACAATTATGACATTATATTTTTAAACGTTTTAATTTTTAAAAATATATATATATTTTTTTATTAAGTATTTTAAATAGTGGAATTCCAGTTCCAAGCAAGCTTTGCATAGGACTAGATAAGTAGAATAAATATTTAAATTAAGTGTTATTTTATCTTTTAAGTAAGGACAAAGATATGTTAGACAAGTTGAAAGAGTTTCTGTTATGTTGAAGTTTTTGTGGTTACCATTTTACTGACAATTACATTTGTCTCATAAACTGCATTTTGACTAATACAGTTTACATTTATTTGGAGTAACTTAATTTTTTTTTGAAAGAATCAACTTAAATACATTGTATATATGATTAAGTTCCATGTAGTTTGTCGGTTGGACACAATTTCTTTTGAAGTTGTCATAAAAGTTTGCGTCAATTTTTGGGGTTATGTATTTTTAAGCTAAAACAGTTGTTTTTAGAGCGTATAAACATAGCGATAACAAATAACTATATTAGCATCCACGCCAATGCAGGACAATAATCTGTTTATTACGAGCGCTTGATACACATATGCTGTTTGCGCTTTAAATGCACAAGCTCTTTAATGTCAGGTGGATTCTGATTGGCTGTCCGTGTTCTTAATATCATTACAAGTGAGCCGTGTCAATATCATTATAATTGTGATGTGGACTTCCATATTCTCAGAATCAGAACGATTAATAAACCTTTATAGTTCCAGCTATCTTCCTTGGCGTGAACAACCCTTTAATCTGTTGTTTTAGAACACATTGTAATAAGCTGAGTGATGTCAATGTGAAAAAGACATCAAATGAACCATTTATCTCATGTATCAAATCTTTCGTATGAAATAGGTCACATCACTAATGAAGCGGCTTTATTCACGTCATCACTTGTTAGATATCAGAATGCACAGAGCATATGATAGGGGAGCCTGATGTGTGACGTTGACTTTATCTTTGTGTAGATTGCAAAGAAGTTCAATCTCTACTGTCTGAGCACTTACATCCAGGCGGATGCCATGAGGGTGGAGTTTCCAGAGATGATGTCAGAGGTCATTGCGTCACAGCTGCCGAAAGTGCTGGCGGGAATGGTCAAACCCCTCATGTTTCACAACAAGTGATCCAGACAGGACGCTTGGGTCTGTGCTGATTTACATCTCAGATGAATGTGTACCACATCTAAATAACATAGACATGCATCTTTCCATATACAATCATCCCCTTATAATAGTCACAAGTTCTGATCTAATGTGGTAGTTGAAAATCCACAATTTTTCAATGTGGAGAACTAGAATCTGAAGACAACATGTGATCATGCTGTATTATTAAACCTGCTATTGCCTTTTACAAAACATTACACAGAAAAGCGGTCTTAAAATGTGCTAAAAATGTGATGTATGGATTTTTCAAAGCCTTTTTTATTTTTCAAATGAATCCTTAAATATTAACATATTAGACAATAACTTATGGTTAAATTATAAACTTTTTTTTTTTTTTTTTTTAAATCCTAGATTTTCAGGAAATGTGTCTGAGTGTGATGAAAAGGAAATGCTTTTCCGTCTCACTCTTCGATAAGTGTCAAGCGGACAGTTTCCATGATCAGATTTTACAAACGCCCAGTGCCAGGCACCTTTGATTGTACTTACATTTACACAGTATTTGCTCACATCAAATGAAAAGTACATAATTATGAAGTATCTAATAAAAAAAAAACACTGATTGCATACAATAACAATGTTTGAAAGACAGAGCTCATTGGCTCAGCGTTCAACTGTATAATTAATGGATCACTGTATAATATGATCCAGTCTGATGCTTATTTTTAAAGCAGAATATTAAATGTTTTATCAGAAGGCAAGAGCATAAATTTTGAAAAAAAAAAAAATTTTTTTTTTTTTGGATTTTCTGACATTTCCTCCGTGACCTTGATGGTTTAGTAAGCTGAAGGGAGTATCACACAAACATCAGCAGTCAAGGGCACGGAGCATTCTCATGTATTTAATTGGGAGAGAACACTGGGATCTTGGCAATCGCCTCCTTTCCAAATACATCTGATGCTGTTTATCCTCAGATCTCCGCCGGAACGAAGTGACTGATGTCTGAGATTTATTTCTGATGACTTAGCTTTTCTTAAACAGAAGACAAGAAGTGGATCTCATTTTATAAACAAATTTATTGGCAGAAAAAAAAAGGAATTAAGAAGAAAAATATGAGTTACAAAATAATTATCCATATATAAACTTCTATTCTCATATTCATAATATTTAATTATGGAGACAATAAGACGTACCATATTGGTGTTGTTGACACTGACAGTTGGTGTCATCTTAAACTTCAGAAGGAATAATGTGACCTGAACATCATGTACAATGACGCTGCTACAGCTAGACTTGATTAGTATTTGTAAAGACTGAATTTTACTTGACATTCTGCAGTGACCTGGATGCAAAACTGAGACATGATCCATTGCTATCTCATTCTCTAAACCAGAGATTAGAATATTAGACATTTAAAATATAAATAACTGGAACACTCAGTTGCGTTCCTCTGATGTTATTGAATAAGCAGTGTTCCGGGGGTGCTAATATTTCAGCACAAAACTGGAACGTTTCCACCAAACATTTGTGCTTAAATGGCTGATTCCAGTAGTGCATGTAGAATTCTATTTGTCAATAACATACAAAACACATTTTATTAACAGCATAATGTGATGAATATGAATATTATAACTGAAAATATGTAAATATATATATTGTTTGTCCCTTTAATGTCAGCAGCACTCAAGCTGCATAACTAAACCTGATGATCATGTTCTCCAGCATGATTTAAAGATGTTCCTAAGAGCATCTTGAGCTTCAGTGTTAAGCTGGAAATCTGACCATGTGGTAAATGTCACAATTTACTTGAAAACCTAATCTTAATTGATTAGTCACCTAGACATATTGCAGAAATTCATTTTCTTATAGTTTCTCTGTTTAAAATGTTCAGAATCCAAACAATGCGGTTTCAGACTTTTGAACATTAATGACAGTAAAAGTAAGTACATTCATGATGAAATAAACCACGCACATCAGAGTTTGGGTACTGCTGAATTGACAGTGATTCACAGCTCAAATAGTTACTGCTGAGGTTTAACATTATTCTCCTTCATTTCAAGGCAGTAAGCATTGAGCTAAAATAAAAGAAAGCCTGTCTAAGCTGATCTTTCTTAACAGAATTACAGTATTCCACCACATAGTAGACCTAAAAACAGCATTTCGTGCAGTCCATCACACCACGTGGTCTCAGTGTATGTGAATCTGTGTATCTAGACTCAAGCAGCACATGATGCCAATTTCAACATTTCTGCCTCAGCAAAAGCTTTGGAACCCATTTGTCTAGAATTACAGCTGCTTTTTAGACATGAATCACCCTTGTGCTGCATCATTGAGGTTTGTGTACCGTCCATTATCTCTTAAGGTTCAATGTCATATTAATGGCACAGTCCACTTGCATATCCGTCAACGATTGATATATATTTAAAGCCCTTGGTCTAAAGTTGATGTTGCCATGGATACCATGAAATGCTTGGCCCCCTCCTGGTTGAACGATTCCTATCTTGAGAGGAACACCACATAATTTTCAGGAACGAGGCCTGTTTTGCCCTCAAATGTTGCCTGGAGCCAGCCCGGTTCCACTGAAGGATACACTACACAGAGGAAAATGAGAAAGTTTAGTGGGGAAGACTTGATAGGGAAAATCTATAGTATTATTACTCATACTTAGGGGCACAACAATGGATATGTGGCCTAAGACCATTTTTGAAAGTGTTTTGGGACAGATGACTGAACATCATTGGATCAATACAGCGTATGTTTATTGGTCTTGTACATGCCTTGTATATTTAGCAAAATTAAATTAGCATAATTATTCTATATTAAATTGAATGTTGTTTAATTTTAGAAGCATTAATATGACTGTTAGAAATTACACATAAATCAGTAATGTTCCAGCAAATTCCAGAAAAAGATTGTTTCTAAATCATTTCCGTCTATTACTGACTATATATGAGCAATATCACACGAGTAGCAGTGTGATATGGCTATATATCAGCACGGCTGTTATTTGGCTGTTGTCACGAAGCCGTAGGATGGTGTGTGTGTGTGTGTTCGTGATGATTATTTTAGTTACATTATTCTGTAACCAAGAGACTTTATGAGTGAGTCAGCAGTGAAGACTTTTATTTTGAAAGAGACTGGTTGTAAACAAGGAAGTTATTTGTAAGATGCAGCCAACAAATGCACTGAGCAGCGCTGTCATCGGAAATAAAAAGGATAGCACCACAAATATATCGCTTTCCTCAGCGAACATTCAAACTATTGTTTTATTGTGAATATGAGATTGAACTGAAGAATGAATGCTGTATCAGATGCAGGTAATCACACTCATAGTCATATAATACAGTGAGCTTTTAATACAGTGATACAATAAGCTTTTAATGAAGCAACTCAATGTTCCTTCGTTACTAGTTCTAAAGTGATGTTTTCAAATTAAGTGATACAATAAGCTTTTAATGAAGCAACTCAATGTTCCTTCGTTACTAGTTCTAAAGTGATGTTTTCAAATTAGTAATGGAGGCTTGGGCTCATGTGTTAAACGGTCAAACTGAGATTTGAATCCATGGTGGAAGGAAGTAGTTGCACTAGTTGTTTCTTTTTTTATTTACACACTTGTGCCACCAAAGTGTTGTATAAACACAATATCACACAATTAGTCGTGCGAATATAAAAGTGTTAAGCTTTCCTTCTCTTGTGCCTATGGCCGAATCACAGCCATATCGCACTGCTACAAGTGTGATATTGCTCATATATATGGAGAGAGAGAGAGAAAGAAAACTTAACACTTTTATATTTATTTAAATTAATTATTCACTTATATAAATATATATAAGTCTTTTTCATGGCACAAACAACATAGCCAAAAATAAAATGGCATTGTTTCGATGGGGTCAGTAAAGTTGTTGGCAAGACAAGCAAATTGGCCTTATTGTTGAGCCCACAAACCCTAAGCATTAAATATGGCATTTACCTGTATGTCGTCCCACATGTTAAGTACTTCAATGTTACCTCAAATCATGTGGCTTATTGAGGTGTGCCATTATAATAATAACAATAATAATAACAATAATAAAGTTTATTTTATATAGCACCCTTCTGCAAACTCAGATTTAGTGAGTGAAGAAATGTGAGGTAGGAAGGAGAGAGAGGAGTAAAAGATTATACCCAGGTTTTTAATGGTGGTGGAAGGTCGAACCAAGATCCCAGCAATGTTAACATAGTCAGCACAGAAAGGAGCAACATATTTAGGTGAACTGACAAGTAGTAGATCTGTTTTTATCAGTGTTGAGTTTGAGAAAGTTACTGGTCATCCAAGCATTTATATCATTAATACAAGCTGATATGGAGTTGGTGGGAAAGGGAGAGTTGTGTTGAGAACTGATATAGAGCTGGGTGTCGTCTGCATAGCAGTGGAAGTTGATGCCGTGATGACGGACAATGTTACCTAAAGGGAGCATATAGATGATGAAGAGTAAAGGCCCAAGAACAGAACTCTGAGGAACACCGTGAGAACCAGGAGCAGTAGAGGACTTAGTCTGGCAACCAGCAATGTAATGCTGACGGTCAGACAGGTAAGAAGTGAACCAAGATAGGGCAGTTCCAGAAATACCAAGAACAGAGAGTCGTGAGACGAGAATACTGTGAGAGATAGTGTCAAAAGCAGAGGAAAGTTCTAATACAATTAAAAAGCTAATGGAGCCTGCATCAGTGGCCATAAGGAAGTCATTTACAACCTTAAGAAGTGCTGTCTCAGTGCTGTTAAGAGTATGAAAACCGGACTGGAAACATTCATAGAGGTTATGAGATGACAAATATGACTGAAGTTGAGCAACAACAACTTTTTCAAGTAGCTTTGAAAGAAGCAGATGATTTGAAATTGGTCTGTAATTGGCCATATCAGAAGGGTCAAGGCCGGGTTTCTTTAAGACTGGTGTGACAGCTGCAGTCTTTAATTCAAAAGGAACAGCACCAGTGCTGAGAAGTTAAGAAATGAGAAGTGAAATAGGCCGAGAAATAACAGGTGCAGAGATTTTGAGTAGAGTAGTAGGAGCAGGATCAAGATGACAGAAAAATGGATTAGATTTTTTGAGTAGCTCAGAGATATAGGCAGGAGTTGGAGGGTCAAAATCAGTAAAAGTACCAGGTGCAAAATCTGAGGGGAAGTCATGTGAGTGGATAGGGTAGTACATTGTTGGAAAGAGATTAAATATGCAATTTATTTTATTTTGGAAGAAGTGTAAGAATGACTCACAGAGGTCTACTGAGTTACTCATGACAGGTGAAGGAGGGTTGGTGAGTTTGTTGACTACAGAAAACAGTGTTTTAGGACGGGAGGATGCATTGGTAATGAGGGCAGAATAGTAACTGGAGCGTGCAGTATTTAAAGCAGATTTTTATCGCTAAATATGGTCCTTGTAAGCAACAAGACGCACGTTCAAACCAGTTTTCCTGTAAAGGCGTTCAAGGCGACAACCAGTAGTTTTCATTATTTTTCTAAGTCGTGTGATCAGACGTATGATTTTGATAAGTTGACCATTTAACCTCATCTCAGACAAACACAGCATGTAGTCCTAAATAAACTTGAAACACTGGAGCCATTATGTTTAAAGTGATTTGTTTGGCCATTATTTTCACAAAACAATAGTAACCTAGGAAAGGGGGGTATTCTGATTCTGATCAGTGAACCGCATATGCAGAGTTTTAATTAATGACGGATCAAGTCAGGTCAGTTTGCTTTGATATGAGTCAGATGAGTCCTCTGCACAATCTGACTTTGCTGCAGCATGGAACAAACTGCTGGTTCATCTGGTCAGAGGAAAACTGGCCCCCTGACTGAGCCTGGTTTCTCCCAAGGTTTTTTTCCCCATTCTGTCACCGATGGAGTTTTGGTTCCTTGCCGCTGTCGCCTTTGGCTTGCTTAGTTGGGGACACTTAATTTCCAGCGATATCGTCGACTTGATTGCACAGATACTATTGTCCATTTGCATTATTGACACACTATTTTCCTATTTGATAATTGTAAAGCTGATTTGACACAATCTGTATTGTTAAAAGCGCTATATAAATAAAGGTGACATGACTTGATAAATGACCACCATAAAGCTTTCAAAGGACCTCACAAATTACTCACCCAGTAATGACGCATTTCAACGTACTCTGAACTATCAAAGCATCTGTTTAGACTGTAAAGCATTAGGCAGATGAGATTGAAAAATAAAGAGGTTTTAAAATAAGTTTTTATAAGCAGAGCTCTCAAAAGTCAACATAGTGAGAAGGTTGATGGGTAAGAGGAGGTTTATGTTGTGCTAAGTGTTTACTGAGCTTTAGAGAGGGGAAGACGCTGCCTTCACCAGGTTACTGTGACCTGTTTCAATGCCCTGGTGCCCAGCCAAGTTTGTTCCTTGCGGAAAATACATTCAGCTATAAAATCCCAGTCCTGACATGTACGAAGAACAACAACAGATGGTCGTTCCACAGAGCAGACACAGGAATGCATTATTTTCTATCAATATTAATGCCCTGGTATGCAGCATTGTGCATCAGTCCAGTCATAGTTCATTCTCTTTTTGAGATTTGTAACCGTCACTGCAAGTCAGTCACAAAAGACGTACATATTTTAACTTCCCTCAAAACACATTCCCAAAACAGCAATACGCAGATTTGGTATCAGATTCATGGCCAGAATTGCTCCATGTTTCTTAGTATATATGGCAGCCACAGTTCATTCAAAGGTCACTCATAGATAGATAGATAGATAGATAGATAAATAAATAGACTCACCGTTGGAGAAGTGGGCCCCCTGTGGGAAGCTCAGCTCATTGCTGTGCTCTGCTTCACATGAATATATGGCTTTGGCATCTCTGTGGATTAAAATCAGAAATGATTTACCGATGTGCTCATACACTGTTTTAAAAGAGATATTTGTTGGTTTTATGTTTTATGACGTTTGCCATTAAATATATGTGAAAGTGATGTTTTTATGGGCCCTGTCCATTGGTACCTTCCCAAGGGAGGAGGTTTTACAGCTGATGGGTTCTCAAAAAGCAGCGCTCTGGCAGCCACCCTGGAACATACAACCATGCCAAATGTTAGGATGATTGTCAACTTCAAGATCTGACGTCACAAGAATTAGGCTGAATAAACAAACTTTTTTCAGCTAAAGCAGGTAGCAACAATTTGGCCCTTACATTTACAGTAAAAAACATTGCTGTGAGCTTGTAAATTACTGGTAAATTTACAACAAGGATATATAATATGCATAGTATACAGATGTGAGCATCACCTCTGTAGCAGTGATTCATGTGCACTTTATAACTATTAAAGTAACATACAAATTCACAAGCCAAACATTTTTCAAATCAACATGTTGCTAACACTTGTGGCTGTACATCTTATATAAGCAAATAAAAGGGTTTTTGAATTGAGTACTCTTAAGTGAGCTGTGATGTTTCTTTTCTTCTCTGTCATGACAAGTAAAATGATATATCCTTCCCTGGAGAGAGTGTCTAAAAACCAGCGCTAGGTCACATCAACCCTTTCAGCAGCATAATTTAAACTCCTGCCAATAAAGAACAACTGCCATCAATCTCCATTCAGCAGCTTCCTCTCCAAGCCAGCAACTGCACTACAAAATACTGCACTGTAAAACAATGCACGATGTTGCCTCACTTTGCACACTGAATAATGTTTTTACATTCCTCATGATGTAGTGTTTTAAAAGCTGACAATAATTTGAATGCACATCTTACATGATCAGTTCTATTATTTCTGAAAAAATAAATCAACTGCACTGAGATCAAAATAAAATATATACTTACAGTATATATATTTATACATATGTATATGTATTTTTTTCAAACTTTTGCCTGCCAAATCAATTTCCTCAAAAGTTTATTCCTCAAAAGTGTTCCATTTGTTAACCTTGGTTAACTAACAATGCAAAATGCAAAATTATTCAATTAAATTATTATTATTACTGTTACTATTATTTAATGGACCTGATTATTTAACATGGACTAACAATGAACAGTTTTTTTTATTATTATTATTAGATAACATTAACTAAGATGAATAAATACTGTAAAAAAATGTACTGCTCATTGTGAGTTCATGTTAATAGCGAGATAATGTTAATTGCAAGATAAACTTGCAGTTCTGAATTTTTTCTTTGAATTGTAAGTTTATCTTGAATCAGTAAATTTATCTCACAATTGACTTTTTTCTCAGAATTGGGTTTTTATTTTGCAATTCTGACTTTTTAACACGCAATTGTGAGTTATAAAGAAAGAATTTTGAGATATAAACTGACAATTAAGAAATTGTAAGAAAATAGTCTTTTTTCCCTCAGAATGGGACTTTATGAGAAAAGAAGTCAGAATTGCAAGATATAAATGTGCAATTACGAGAAAAAAACTCAGAATTTCGAGTTCATATCACGCAATTCTGAGACAAAAACTCTTCTGATTTTATCACTCGCAATTATGAGTTTATATCATGCAATTCGGTGGAAAAAAGTCTTAATAATTTTTTTCATTCAGTGGCAGAAACTGGCTTCCATAATATATATAGCTAGTACATACAGAATGCAAAAGAATATATTTTGAAGAACTTGACATGTTTTAAAATGAAGTTTTTTTTCATCATCTTCATCCTCAAATGTTTACTGGGATCTGTCATTGAACCATGAACTTTTGGGTAGACATGGTCACAGGGTAGACAGGGTCTACAAACATATCAAGTTTTTTCTAACTTCTAACAAAACTGGATGACTTCTTATCTGAGAATGAATACTAGCAGAACAGACAGAGCTGGGTTTTCATCAAATGTCAGCTTTAGCATCAGTGGGTTGGATACTGATTAGAGATTCACTTACACTGATCCTGGTCTCTGATAGCCATTGGTAGAGCTGTTGTTGTCCAGCTTTCGGCGCAGGATCGTTTTAGGTGGCAGATCATGGTAGGCTGTGGATCTGATGCCGTCTTTATGCACCACACATGCTAGATTCTGTAAAGACCCCACACAGCTCTTACGACCTCCAGAGAGCCCAAAACACAAAAGAACAAAATAATATATATTTTTAAGAACTTGACATGTTTTAAAATGAAGTTTTTTTTCATCATCTTCATCCTCAAATGTTGACTGGGATCTGTCATTGAACCATGAACTTTTGGGTAGACATGGTCACAGGGTAGACAGGGTCTACAAACATATCAAGTTTTTTCTAACTTCTAACAAAACTGGATGACTTCTTATCTGAGAATGAATACTAGCAGAACAGACAGAGCTGGGTTTTCATCAAATGTCAGCTTTAGCATCAGTGGGTTGGATACTGATTAGAGATTCACTTACACTGATCCTGGTCTCTGATAGCCATTGGTAGAGCTGTTGTTGTCCAGCTTTCGGCGCAGGATCGTTTTAGGTGGCAGATCATGGTAGGCTGTGGATCTGATGCCGTCTTTATGCACCACACATGCTAGATTCTGTAAAGACCCCACACAGCTCTTACGACCTCCAGAGAGCCCAAAACACAAAAGAACAAAATAATTAAATTGGTTTCTTTTTGTGTAGATTTGTGTAGAGGTTTTAAACCAACATTAAAATATACAATAAAATAATAGAAAAAAATTAAGTAAATTTGAATACAGTTTTGTAATGGAAAAAAACAGGACATACACTACTGGTCAAAATTTGGAATATATATGTGACCATGGACCACATAACCAGTCATAAGGGTTTGTTAGGATAGGACAATTTTTGGCCGAGATACAACAATTTGAAAATCTGTAATCTGAGGGTGCAAAATTTTTTTTTTTCCAAATTAAGGCCTTAGCAACGCATATTACTAATAAAAAAAAAAGTTTTGATATATTTACGGTAGGAAATTTACAAAATATCTTCATGGAACATGATCTTTACTTAATATCCTAATGATTTTTGGCATAAAAGAAAAATCGATAATTTTGACCCATACAATGTATTGTTTGCTATTGCTACAAATATACCCATGCGACTTAAGACTGGTTTTGTGCTCCAGGGTCACATATACATATATATATATACTTCAAAGGAAGTGTCTCATGCTCAGCAAGGCTGCATTTATTTGACCATAAAATACATTATAAAAATAATACTGCAAAATGTTTGTATTTTTAAACATAAAAGTACAAAAAACTACTTAAACTTAAAACGTTTAACCACTAATGCAAGTTATTGGCCCCTACCTTCTGTGATGTGTAAAGATGGGGCACTCGAGCGGTTAAGCTGTGCTGATTTGATTCCTACTTCAGAGTGAGGAGCCTTTGTGGGTGCTGGTGAAGATCTGGCAGCTGCTGAGCCGGAGTTCCTCCTACAGGAGTCGTCCCAATCCACACGGCCCGTGTCCTCTCTGGAGCTGGAGTCTGGACTGCTGGTGCAGGTGGGGCCCTGGGGCTCGCTGGAGGACAGGGAGGAAGGGGTCCGCCGCAGGCCGGGGAAAGGGGGCTTGTCTTTGGGCTTTGGAGAGGAGCAGGTTTTGGAGGAGCTGTTCTGCTCTGAGGAGTGGGAGGAGAGGGAGTCCATGCTGCCGATTGGAGTGCTGCCTGAACTGCTGCTGAACGTGTCACCTGCAGAGGCAGTTACGAACATGTGCTGTGAAGACACATAACACCTGAAAACTGTCTTCAATTCATTACATTTTTTACATTAATTATGTTAAATTTACTGGCTTCTAACATAAATCTAAAACCCAGAGGATGTACTCTCAGCAGTGAATGTGAAACGTGAGGATGAGACTCACTGTCTGCGTCTGCCAGGCACATTGAGGGTGTGTAGAGGCTCTTGGGTTTGCGTGGTCCAGACGAGAGGCAGATGGCTCTGCTCCTGCGAGACCCCGGACGAGACTGAGGCTGCGGCAGGGGAACATTAGGGTCCGGCGCCTGATGAAATATCTGTGAAGACAAAAATAAAATAATAATACTAATAATACATTTATACAGCATGGATGCATTAAGTTGATTAAAAGTGACAGTAAAGTCTTTTACATTGTTACAAAAGTTTTCTATTTCCAATAAATGCTGCTCTTTTGAACTTTCCATTCATCAAAGAATCCTGGAAGAAAAAATTTATCACAGTTTTCACAAAAATAACTATTTTCAACGTTGATAATACTAAGAAATGTTACTTGAGCAGCAAATCATCATATTAGAATGATTTTTGAAGATCATGTGACACTGAAGAATGGAGTAATGATGCAGAAAATTCAGCTTTGCCTTCACAGGAATAAATTACATTTTAAAAACAATTATTTTTAAATTGTAATAATATTTCACATTATGACCTTTTTTTCTCTGTTTTTGATCAAATAAATACAGCCTTGGTGAGCACAAGAGACTTCTTTCAAAAACATAAAAAAATCTTACCAACCCCAAAACTTCTGAACGGTAGTCAATATAGACATATACAGATACAGTATGAATGTATCATTTCTTACAGGAGTATGTTGTGTATTATCTTTGCTTTCACTTGCCTTCTCAAAATTTTCAATGAGAATTTCTACCACGATGTTTTGGAATTTGATGTTCATCATAGCGGCAACGGTTTCCTCCTGTGAGCGCATAAGCGTAGGGCCAAAGATCACTCCCAGATTGGACACGGTCATCATGTTACTCTCACTGTGAGTGGACACACTGCAGGGACACATGCCAGTCAAACTCTCGAACCAATATCACACTTCAAATAATACTTAATTACCCCACAAAACTACCTGATACCAAGGTAAACTTACATGCAGGACCAGACCAGACTATGGTGCTTAATGCAATCTACTGCTATTTAGTGGGCAATGCTTTTTACCATTAAAATTTTAGGTGGTGAAGAACATTGATCAAGTACGCCTCGATCATGGTTAAGCTAGTTCAAGTCTTGTGAAGATGCCAACACTCTAAATAAATCTACAACATATTACTTGAGACTAAGAAGAAAGTGAGCTAAGGGAGAGAAGAGTTTTAATTTTTGAGTAAAGTTTTCCTTTCAACAGTAAAAAAATGAATATAAATCTACATGTTCAATCATACTTGAGTAGATGTTTGATTAATATCTCCAGCATCTCTTTGTTTTTGTCAGGTAGTTTATGCACCAGTGTGTGAACTGCACACACTCTGTAGTTCTGATCATCAGATTCTGAAAGAAAACAGACCAAATATATCAACACACCATCAGCACAAACTCAACACAAACAGGGGCCCTTGGCAGGAGTGTACGCACAGAGACACTTTAAAAAAAAAAAAATGAATGAATGAATGATTAAATGAATGAAGGAGTCTCTGGATACATTAATAATGCTTTCAACCCTGAAAATGAAAAAAAGAAAGAAAACCCCCCCCCCGAAAAAACAAAACAAAAAAAACAAATATAATCTAAATAAAATAATAACAACTGAAAAACAACACGGGGGGTGAACACAAATAGTTTCCAGATGTAATTCCCAGATACGGGTGTCATGTTATAAAATATTTTTAGTTCAAGTTTCACTGAACTGAATAGTTTCAGTTCAAGCGAAGCAGGAGTGCATTCTACTGTAATTAGCATGAAATAAACATGAATGAACATCCAAAGGCATGTTGAAAGATACACTACAACAATGTATAGTGTCTCATGTAATCACTTTATGAGTGTTTCAGCTGCGGAAATACAGCAGCTTGAAAACATTGTCGCATAACCTCAGAAAATCCATTCAGTGTCCATAAACTAGTGAGAAAAATGTACACTAGAGAGGATAATTTTGCAAAAAATTACATTTATTATATTTCTACTCACATAATTACTCTTGAAGTTAATATAATAATATTATAAAATGGTCTAATATGAACTTGTATACTAATCAATTGTTACTTTTAACCTTAACAATAGGGTTCCCTGTATTGTTTAGTTTAGAGAAATTGAGAAAAAATAACATGTACTTAATCGCAAGCTCGTTAATTATTCCTAAATAGTTCTCAATACAGGATGCACTCAAAAGTAAGTTGAAGTTTTAGGTTTCCTGAACAACAATTCACTGTATAAGTTAATGTTAGATCTTTTGCTCCAACCGCTGGTTAATCAGATGATAGAAATAAGAGAAACCAGTTCCAATAGACTAACATTTGAAGTTACGGTAGGAATGTATAGCTAATGTGGGGTAATGTGAAGTAATCAGCAATCGTAGGATTTATTCATGCTTTTTTATGCCAGGTTGGAATTATACACTGATTTCCATTTTTCTGGCCACCCCATGTATAAAACTTTAGCTCCGCCACTGTCTACACTACACTGAGAAATAAATCTCGTACTTAGATCATACGTACAGCTGCACTTTGTTGTCAGTGAGCGTGAGCACTGAACAAAACTTCAGAGTTTCAGCGACGTCTAATCAGAATGCCTCTGATTGGCCATTGCATTCATAACCTCAGCAGATCTAAATTGAATGCCTTAATCTACACTTTTTATTTAATTTTCACTTTATTCCCGACAGCCGTAATAGTCCAGGTGATATGTGCAAAATTTGAGGTGATATGTTCACTTTTTCATAAAAGCACGAAACTTGGTACACTTGTACAGTTTGGGGCCCTGAACATTTTCAGAAATGGAGCCATCGCAAAAACACCTCGTGGTTGCCATGGCAGCCATTTTACTTTCCGCCATTACCAAACTATGTATTTTGTGTCATATCTTCTGCATCAAACATGATAACACAGAAAAGGTGATGTCTACCCATAAATTTTAATGGTCAAGGATTACAATGATACCATATGCAACAACATAAACTGTTCAGGTGAATAGTTAATGGTGAAATCAGTGACGTGAGAAGGAAATCACAGTATCTGAGTAGTACAGTATCACAGCACCTATAATAGTCCATATGGCTATTTATTTTCTTTTTCTTTGATAATTGACTAAATTTTTGTTCAGTAATACAATATTGTTTTCAAGAATACAATCATATATTTCAGAGATATATAAAAAAATCCTCTCAGGTAAGTAAATTAATACTTGTCTCCCAGGCAGTCAGGTAGGTGGTAGCGTGTAAGTGTTTGCTTAATACCTTGTTTCTGTTTCTGTTGTTTAGATTTTTATTTGCTGTTAAGAAGGCTATTTAATTTACTATTTCTATTTTACTTCTTTTGTTATAATTTGTATTTTGATTGCACATATTTGCAATTAGAATAAAAGCTGTCGGCTAAGAAGAAGCTTTTGATATTTGTATTGCTTGCTTACTGCACTTAAGTGGCAAACTGTCCCACAGTAGTTTTGATTTGAACCATTCGCGTGCTATAGGCTTTTGGTGTGCTAACTGTTAAGGCATCCATAGCTTTATTCACTCAAGAGTTGATAAGCTGTGCATTTATTTGTAATCTGTGCACAGAAGTGGAATACCTGTGCTCTACTTGTGTGACTCCACCGGGCAAGGACACAGACAAGGCACTTAAGTATCTTTATTTTTCTTTCCGCACACACTCTACTTACACCTTCTTTTTCCCACATCTATCATGTTTCCAATACATTCCTGTTTTTTTCTCAACAATGCTTTAACATCAAACAGACAGCAATGCAATCTTGCTAACCTTCGTCCTATCTACACCTCTTCTACTGCACCCCAAACCAAACTCAGTTCAGCAGAGACAGAATGGCACAAATCAAAAGATCCATCTGACCTGAGTATATATCAGTTTTTGTTTTCATCTTTCTCTGTTGAAGTCCATGCTGCCAAATCTTTGTATTTCCACAACAAGATCAACAGCGCTTCAGACACATGTAATCTCTTCAAAACATTCAATTCCCTCCTCTGTCCCCCTCCACCACCTATTTAACAGCTCATGATTTTGCTGCATTCTTCAGACAAAACTAAAACCATCAGCAGACAGTTCTTAGCTCCACACACACAGGAACTCAAACCAACCACATCCACTGCTAAAACTCCCCTCTCCTCCTTCTGTCCCCTCACTGAGGCAGAAGTATCTAAATTTCTCTTTGCCAGCCATCCTACAACAAGCCCTCTAGATCCAATCCCCGCACACCTTCTCCAAGCTATCTCTTCTACATTTCTACCAGCACTCACACATATCATCAACGCATCTCTTTTCACAGGCATTTTTCCCCACTGCATTCAAGCAGGCTCGGGTAACCCTACTGCTCAAAAAAACTACATTAAACACTTCACTTGTAGATAGCTACAGACCTGTCTCTCTTCTTCCATTCATATCGAGAACACTTGAATGAGTTGTTTTCAACCAGGCATCATTATTTCTTTCACAGCATAACCAGCTGGACATTAACCAATCAGGTTTCAGAAGCAGCCATTCAACTGGGCTGTGTTACTGTCGGTCACTGAAGCCCTGCAGATTGTGAAAGCTGATTCCAGATCATGTGTTCTCATTCTGATGAATCTATCTGCCGCTTTTGACACTGCAAATCATCAGATCTTCCTGTACACCCTCTCTTCACTGGGCATCACAAGATCTGCATTTCATTGGTTTGAATCCTACCTCATAGGTAGGTCTTTCAGGGTGGCCTGGGGAGAGGAGGTATCCAAAGCAAATCAACTGGTCACTGGGGTTCCTCAGGGATCAGTTCTTGGACCCTTCCTCTTCTCCATATACACTACATCACTGGATCCCATCAAACAAGTACATGGTTTCTCCTATCATTGCTATGCTGATGACACACAGCTCTATCTTTCATTTCAACCAGACGATCCAACGGTAGTTGCATGGATCTCAGGCTGCCCGGCGGACATCTCAGCATGGATGAAGGAAAATCACATTCAGCTCAAGCTGGCAAAGACTGAGCTTCTCGTCTTCCCTGCCACTCTGACTCTACAGCATGATTTCACCATCCAGCTAGGTTAATCAACAATTACCCATTCAAGTTCAGTCAGAAATCTTGGTGTAATCTTTGATGATCAGCTGACCTTCAAGGACCACATTGCAAAGACAGCTTGACCATGCAGATTTGCATTGCACAACATCAGAATGATCAAGCCCTTCCTAAAAGAGCATGCTGAACAACTTCTTGTTCAGGCCCTTGTCATTTCTGGTCTGGACTACTGCAATGCTTTTTGGCTGGACTTCCATCATGTACAATGCAGCAGCAGGTCTGATTTTCAACGAGCCCAAAACGGCCCACATCACACCTGAATTGCACGCTGTATTCCTCAATTGTAAGTCACTTTGGATAAAAGAGTCTGCTAAATGAATAAATGTAGAGTAGGGCTGTGTGATTAATCGAAATCGTCATAAAATCACGATTTGAGCTTGCGCGATTTTTAAATCGCTTTATAGCACGATTTTCCGCGCCCCTGACCTCCCGCAGTATGCTATCCGAACCAATCAGAATGCAGCGTGCCTAAATGGAGCAGGAGAACAGAACAGACTGGGCGGGCATACAAACGTAACGCCAGGTTCACACACTCCGTCTTTTTCTGCCATGTCTATTCTAGAGACGTTTTGTTACACCTTTACTTAGTGATTATTTTTGCCTTATGTCTGTTCTAGAGACATGTTACAGCTTTTTGATAAAGCTCTAATTGGTTTTCTTTTGGAAATATGTTTCAAATTCACACCGAATGCATTAATGACTGTAAAGCATGTCTGTGTGTGTCAAAATTGTGATTAAAATCGAAATCGCAAAATTTATCAAAGAAATCGCGATAGGTTTTTTTTGTCCATATCGCACAGCCCTAATGTAGAGTCAGGCAGATTGTTGACTGTTACCAAGGTGACAGTAGAGTGACAGTTCATCAAGAAGGAAGGCTGCACTGAGTACTATCAAAGACTATAGAATACGCAAGACGTGTCACTCATATAGTTTTGAATGGGGGAAAAATGCAACGCTCAATATGGCTGCTCTATTGAAGAAAGCCCCGCCTTCTGAGTAAAAGAGCCAATTGCTATTCGGCAAAGTCATTGCGTCACTGCAGCTGCCATTAGAAGTCCCATTGCTATAGAAATAGTCAGTGTTCTGGAGACGCGCGCTTAGGACTTTGCAGGTGCATTGGCTGGTCTAGCCTGAAAAATAAGCTTTTTTTTAACGTTAATTTGGAAGTATCCATTGAAATAAATGCTTCCCCCTTGTGGACACTAACATAATAGGCAACTCTGGCCCCAGAGGGTGATTGTAAATTAAGTTTGCAGGAAATATGCTTAAAATTTCATTCTGCATCGTGTCAGATACTGTGATTTCATTGTAATTCTTATCACAACATCACTGAATTCACCATTAAAAATTCATCTCAACAGTTTATGTTGTTGTATATGATATCATTGTAATTAGGGCTGGACGATATGGCCAAAATTGATATCACGATATAATACATAATTTGGTTATGGCGGAAAGTAAAATGGCCGCCATGACGACCACAAGGCATTTTTGCGATGGCTCCATTTTGTGAAACATTTTTTCACATACCACCTGGACTATAATAGATTTAGTTTAGTGGTGCAGGGGCATTTTTGTTCAATTTGGTGGAATTTTCCAGGCTTGCCCAGCCTGCACACGCTCCATCTACGTGATTCAGAGAGCAAACAAATGCCAATCAACCGTTTTGCAATTGCCCTCAGTTAGCAAAGAGAGAAATGACTCAAAAGAATGATTAAATCACAAATGATTGTTCATTCGACAGAAATACGGGACACAAACAATAACTGCTGAAATATTTGCAAGAAAAATGTGAAAATGTTTGTCTGTCAGGTCTGTAAGGGTGCTCATAGTACACACAGTGGATACAGCCGTGCACCTGCAGGCACCACTGAACACAAATATATACATAAATACATTTTCAGTGTGTTAATGTTTAACATGCAATTCAAAAGCTTTGTAACTTACTGACAGCCAAGAGGAAGTCTGAGTGGAGCTTGTATGTCATGAGAGGCTCAGAAAGACACCTGGTGGACGGAGACGAGAATTACATCTTGTTAGCTCTTCTCTCAGAAAAAACGTTTGGTTATTTTCAGCTCTCTCAAATTGAGAAAGGTACACTCTATTTCAGTGTAATTTTCCTGAATGTACAGTTCCCACTAGCTTTTTGAATCTCCATAAGAAGTAATAAACATCAGCCTGTAACATGTAGAAAAACCCGAGGAACAGACTAACCTGAGGTAATTCTTGAGGCCGCTGGTGATGGTCTTGTTGTCCCAGGTATCTGGGTCAAGATCCATATCTGACGCTGCTTTGGGTGCTGTAAGAGAAAACCAGGAACATGTACAACATTATTTGTGTGCAAATGCTGGGGTCATATTTAAAGGGGTCATATGATGCTGCTAAAAAGAACATTATTTTGTGTATTTGGTGTAATGAAATGTGTTTATGAGGTTTAAAGTTCAAAAAACACATTATTTTCCACATACTGTACATTCTGTACATTCCTCTATGCCCCGCCTTTTTGAAACGCGTCGATTTTTACAAAACTAATCGGTCTGAAATCGCATCATATGACCCCTTTAAAGGTGTCTGACCCATGGAAAACTGCTAATCCAAAATAAAAGCAATGTATAATGTCTTGTAGAGTGAAGTAACTTACAGAATACTGTGGTCATGAGTTTCTGAACTTTTGAGTTTATTCCACCGACTCTGTACAAACCCATAGTGTTGAGCCCTGCTGAGAGGAGAACATATACAGTACATTCAAAAAAACAAACAAACAAAAAACAATTGGAATGTTTTAGCCACAATGAATATCCTATTAGGGCTGGGTGATATGGCCAAAAAAATTATCACGATAATTTTTTTCATATCAGTCGATATCGATAATTATCACTATAAATGTCAAATCTTTATTTCTTTCTATAAGTTTAAAGCCAGATTTTTGCCAAAAGGTCAGGCCTTCCATAGATAAACGGTCCGTGTGGCGCGATTTAAATGAGTCGCGCGGTTTCGTTCCGCTTTTGGCGCATAAATATTCTATCGAACATTTATCGAACTCCTCATATAGTTTTATCGAGGAAAATTATATCGCGATAATTATCGTTACCGAATTATCGCCCAGCCCTATATCCTATACATGAAATAAGAGGAAATCAGTACTCCAGGAAGCACACAACTCACCTCTCACCTCCACCAGCTGTATACACTTCCTCACAAAATTAAAGCCAGCTTCGTTTAAACATGCTACAAAAGACAGGTGAACAGAAACAACATGTTCAATAGATAGATTTAGCTTGTGTCACACTCTGAGGGATACGGCTTACTCCGGTTGTGCTAAATGTAATGCGATCGACCTTGTAAAAGGAAATGAGAGAGCAGAGACACACAAAGGGTGTAGTGAAGGGAAACAGAACCCATTATCTGAACGAGTGTTTGTTAAACACAGTTAATCTGATGAGAGCATGTGAGGTCAGACTCAAAACATTAAGCTCACTCTTGACTGAAACAAAAACAAATAGGCAAGACATAATATGAAATAAAATGAATTAATTAATAACACTTTGGCTATGCTTAAAGACTTAAATACTTACTCTCCTCTTTCTTACTCAGAATAGCAGGAAGGTTGTAGATCTGAAAGAGAAAATTATTATATTAAGTGAATCAAGAATTACTTGTTGAGCAATGAAATTTCCGATAAATGGCGTATCGATTTTTACATGTTCTGACAAAAATACCTGAGCTTGAGGATCTTCTGAAGCTTGAATCAATACAGGAGCAAATGATGACAACTATGTCAAGATTGTATTAAATCAGGCAAGAAATTTGCTTCAGGACTCACCGGCTCTTTGCCATCCATAGCTTCCAGCCAGAGTCTCCTGTTGGACGCAGACAGCGCTTGTAGCGTGATAATGCCATGCCTGAAGACAACGCAGCACTTAAAAGTCTGACATGCTCTAGAAATATCTTACTCATCTACATCTACTCATCTAATATAGTTCCTGAATAGAGCCTTTGGAGAAACTGAAGCATGTAAAGGATTTAGACCCAATTGAAATGTTGCCACATACTATACCATTCACCCCAAAATTAAAATTGTGTCATCATTTACTCATCCTGATGTCATTCCAAATTTGTATGACTTTCTTTCCTCTGTGAATTGTAAAAGAGGATATTTTGAAGAAAGTTGGTAACCAAACATTTTTGGTTACCACTGACTTCCATAGTATGAAAACTGTTCTTCCATTGTATGAAAACTTCAGTAAACGATGACAAAATTTTCTTTTTTTGGGCAAACTATCCCTTTAAGTCAGGTTGAGTAGCAATTGTTCACCCCCCAAAAAGATGATGCCATTCCAAACCTGTAAGACTTTCTTCCTTAAATGAAACACAAATAATGAAACTGTTCTTTTCCATAGAATGTAGGGCTGTCAAAATGACTGAAAAACTAAATTCGAATTTTCTACTTAAATATGATCAAAATTCGAATTATATTCGAATTTAAAAGGCATCATTTCAGTTAGGGGAAAAAAAGCTTTTGGCTTCTCTCCTGAGGCCACAAGAGGGCGCATCGCGCAACTAGAATGTAGATTTTTTTTTTTAATTCGACGAATATTCGAAGTTCAAAAAATGTTTTGACAGCCCTAATAAAATGTAATACACAGAGAACGCAAAACCTATTTTTTAGTCTTATTGATTTGGAATATATCATATATGAGCACACTTTGCATAGTTTTGTCTCATTTTTAGAGCTTGACAGCTCCTGGTGATTGTATGCTGTTTATGCTGAGCAGCGTGAACATTCTTCAAAACATCTCCTTTCGTGTTCCATGGAAAAAAGAAAGCCATAGGAGTTTGAAATGACAATGCATTTGAGGGTAATTATTTCTTTAAATGTTTGAACTAAAATCAAAAGTGTTATCTTAAAAACCTTTCAATTTCCCAAGCTCAGTAACACTACACACTTGTGGGAAAAATTATACATGAAAGTATAATTCTTCTACTTCTAAAACTACTTCATTTACATAAGCATCAATTTATCTATATTCTGTATTTGCACTCTGAGTTTAACACCATTTAGAATCACAAGGACCAATTAATCCACCCGTAAATATTACCTGTAGATCTTCACACATGATTTGACAGCATTTGCGGTAACCGTAACTGTAAGGTGAGCGTTAGAGCGAGCTCATAGCCATTAACACGCTCCTCGCTGCAGATACAGTCATGCCTGTGCAAGAGCTGTCACTAATATCTGTGCATGGATGGAACAAGCTATACGCTCAGCTATGCTTTGATTATTATCCTGCTTGTTAGGGCAAGCACGCTGCAGTGCAGTTTAAAGGTAATGGTAGGTGTGTTTTCTGAGAGGAGATTTTTGTACATGAGTGTATAATAGCATTTATAATGTTCCAGAAATGGAGCATTTTGAGATGGAATTTTAAGTGAACTACTGAACAACTTTGTTCCAAAACGTAGTGGGCTGCCTTGCTGTTTGCTGTCTACATAGGCAGCAGCTTTGTGAAATAACATCCTATTTGTCATAAAAGCCTAATCAGTGAATGATAAAAAAATATATATATATATATTACACACACACACACACACACACATGTCTGGTTTGCTATCCTTGTGGGGACTCTCCATAGGCGTAATGGTTTTTCTACTGTACAGACCGTATATTCTATTGCCCTACACCAACCCTACCCCTCACAGGAAGGAATGTGCATTTTTAGATTTTCAAAAAACTTCATTCTGTATGATTTATAAGCTTTTGCACCCGTGGGGACCACAATTTAGGTCCCCACCATGACACGAGTCCCCATGAGTCTGTGTGTATTCAGGTTTAAGTCCCCACCAGAATAGAAAAACAGGTACACACATACACACACACACACACACACACACACACACATAACATTTCTTATTTTGGATTCTTCACAGATCTTGTGAAAAAAAACTGAATAAATAACTTCAATAATTAAACAAATCATAAGGTGTAAAGTTAAAATAAATTATCTTACAATGACAACAATCAAAATCAAACACTAAAAACTAAATATTAAATAAATATATTAAATAAATTAATCATTTAATATCTTAATATCTCAGGAGGTACTTAAAGTAAATGTTTTAGGTCAAAATAAATAAATCAAAATAATAAATAATAATAATAATAAATAATTATAGTGCTTTCTCTGTGAAGGAAACATGCAGTTCTGCCTAAGATTTGTGCAAAAATTAGGCATGTTAGAAGAAAAACTGCCTTTTAGGCCTTTGCATTGGATGATGCCTTAAAAGGCTTTCTGGATAGGCAGCTCTTTTATCACTGAATGTTTCCTCTCCATCTTGCCTAACTGTAGCCTGGTGTAGCCATAGCTAATGTTGATTTGATGTTGTGATGTTTGTTCCTTGATGTCAAGTGATAATGTGATTTCCAGATCAAAAATCACTCAGCCAGTTAAATCAAATCAAACTGTTATCCCACCAATTATAGGTGCAGGGAATGTGTTGGATTTTCATCATGCAATCCTTTAAAACTATCGGAGTGAGAAATTAGCTTTGATCAGCGTGGGATTTCGAATGCATGAGATCACAAGCAGCACACATGCGCTTCAACATGCTTCTGGGCTGGTCACATACCGGGCTTTAAAGAAAAATTGCAGTGGTCTGAAAAAAGATCCACGATAGATGGTATTTCTAGATTGAAATAAACACAGAGAAGGGACAGGGGAAATGGGCACATACAGCACAAGGTAAACTGTCAGAAAAACAACAGTGCAACCTTACACTAGGTGGCAAAGTACATGAACACACAAAAAGTTACATTTGCTACTTTGCTACACACAGATCTGATGGACTGAGTGCTAGTGGAATGTGTACGTTTTAATACGTGTGCACAAATGCTTACATACATAAATAAATATTTGCCACCTAATAACGTAAGACTGTGCCATGACGGCAGATGTAAGTAAAAAAGGAGAAGATTATACAGTTAAAATATTACAGAAGACAGTGAAATAAAAGACACAAGAAGCATGCAGAAAACAATAATTCAGGCCACTCTTAAAACAAGAAGGAAAAATTTGAGAAACAGAAGCTATAGCACGTGTTAAAAAGAGGTAGGAATTCATCCAAAAATGAACATTTGGTATTCATTTACTCTCCCTCAAGTACTGTAGTTACAAACCTGTGTGACTTGTAAAACACAAAAGGTGATATTATGAAGAATGTTCACACAGTTCTTTTCCATACAAAGAACATATAAAATAAATGTTAGAAATAAAAAAAGCATCATTAAAATAAAAAATAAAAAAGTAAATAATACGACGGCATTTTAGTGCCACGTTAAAATAATAAAAAAAAAATCTTAAGATTATGAGATTAAAGTCGTAATATTTCGAGAATAAAATCGAAATTACGAGAATAAAGATGAAATATTTCGAGAATAAAGTCGAAATGTTTTGAGAATAAAGTCGAAATGTTTCGAGAATAAAGTCGAAATGTTTTGAGAATGAAGTCGAAATGTTTCGAGAATAAAGATGGAATACTACGAGAATAGTCGAAATATTTCGAGAATAAAGTCGAAATGTTTTGAAAATAAAGTTGAAATATTTCGAGAATAAAGCTGAAATGTTTCGAGAATAAAGTCAAAATGTTTTGAGAATTTAAATCGTATAAATTAAAGTCATACTATTTTGAGAGTATAGCCTATATTGTGCGTGCAAATGACCCAGATTGAGAGCACCGGGAGAAGTTGCCAGGCCACTGGAATTGATTTGAATATTGTTGCATCCGAGCGGCCACATCATCTTACTGGGATGAGGAAGAGTCAATTTTAAGGACTCGCGGAAACAGCTTAATATCAAGAATATGATATTTATTAACAGACTGAACAGGAACAACTTTTTATCTTAACTCACACACCCAATCGACATTCCTTTGGGGGGCGCTGTAGCTCTCTTATTTAACCCTTTTTAATACAAATATATGTGGGATTATTAGCAGAAATCATACCATGTGTCATATTCGCGGGGACAGTATGCTTGGAAATAATATTTCATGTCTTCGATTGCATTCGTTATTTGTATAGTGCGTCAGCCCCCCAATAGCAACAAGTTTTGTGCTTTTGGTACTTTTAATATAAAACAAAGTCTTAGCATTCAAAATCTGTTTTATAGCAAAACACAAACTATGTGTCTTACAATAATGTGTTTTTCAAGTTCTTTAACGTGGCGTGACAGATCGCTGTATTCATGTGAATCAATTCATTAAATTATACTGTTTTCTTTGTGAAAATTCCACAAAAACATCTGTCTGTGGCGTCCAACCTTTCATTCCTCACATGTATTTAATTAAAAACTACAATAAAACGTTCTAAAGGTTGAAGTGGGCTCCAACTCGTTAACATAGGCTGTTATATTGTTGTCTTTTCTGAGGTAGGCCTATATAAAGTTAAGTGACTATTCACAAGCTGTTTTATTCATGGTATAATACAGTAAGTGATTGGACATAATTTTAACGTTTTCCATTCATTATTTGTAGCGTGCCAGCCACCCAGTAATCGCAATAATTTTGTGCTTTGTTGCTTTTGTTACATAGCTCAGCTTTCAAATTCTGTCAATTTCATCTTGAAATACAAATTATAAATGTGTTTTTCCTCTTACCAAAAGGACACTGTAGTGAATTTGTCAAGTTTTCCATTGACAGATGATGCTGTACAAGTTTTATCAAAAGGCCTCTCATTTGCTCAGACGCATCAAACAACAGAATTTAAAACCAAAATTGACTTATTTCGTTTCCATCGCAATTTGCAGTTGAGAGCATGGTATGGACGAACAACTCAAATACCGACTAACATGTCAGGAGAGAACCAAGAATCTTCAAGAAATCCCTCTAAGTTTAAACCAAAATCTTACTTTCTGCCTCCAATTTAGAATGCAACCATTAATACCTTTGTCAAAAAGGTCAATTATGATATAGAATTACTTTTTAAGAAGGATATTAAACCATCGAGAAAGAATCAAACAAAAAAAAGAGCAAGATGCATTGATCTCCTTATCAACTAATAAAGATTTGGTCATTAAGCCAGCGGATAAAGGTGGAGCTGTAGTAATATGGAGTAGAGACTTGTATATAGAAGAGGCCTATCGGCAACTTAAGAATGAGGACTTTTATTAACATCTACGGAATGATCCAACAGAAATGATGAAAAAAGAATTGCTATCTTTATTAACTGATGCAAGAGAAAAGAGCTGGATTACGGACAATGAATTTAAATTTCTCTATGTTAAAAATCCACGCATTGCATGTTTTTATATGTTGCCAAAAATTCACAAAAATTTGAACAAACCTCCTGGACGTCCTATCAAGAATTAGATTTAACTCCATATTTGTGAAATGATTATCAGTACTATTATTATTATTATTATTATTATCAAGATATATATATATATTTTTGTATATGTGATTATACTTTGAAATTGTTAATGATGCTATTGGTCCCCCTGTAATGAGTATTTTGGTTTCGCCCATTTCTACTGAGCAACTGATTATATCTACACCTGTGACTAATTTTGTACTTGACACACTCTGAGGAAGGCTGGATGGCCGAAATGCATCAGAGTGTGATGTGTTCTAGTCATTTTTAATGTTTCTAGAGTGAGCCATGTTTGAATAAAGGCTTTTTAACATTTTGGAACTGGAAGAAGTGCCTTGGATCCATAGTTTCTATAGTGTTTTTCCTCTTTATTTAAAGTTTATAGAAAAGTGAAGGAACATCGGAAGGCATGAAAAAAAAAAACAGTAGCCTAATTTAATGAAATGAACGTATCACTGTAATCGGAAAGATGACTGATTCACATGCCGCTTAAACTGAAGTGAATACAGCGATCTGTCACGCCACATTAAAGAGGGTGAAAAACACATTATTGTAATAGACATAGGCTATTGTTTGTAGGCTATTTCACTATAAAACTGACAGATTGTGAAAGCTGAGACTTTAAAATATCTCCCGGTGCTCCCAATCCGGGCCATTTGTATGCGCAATAGGGTAGAATATACTTTCAAAATATTGTAACTTTAATCTTGTAGCCTACTAATTAATTCTCCTAATTTTGACTTTATTCTCAAAATATTTTGACTTTATTCTCATCACATTTCGACTTTATTCTTGTAATTTCGACTTTATTTTCAAAATATTTTGACTTTATTCTCGTAATATTTCAACTTTATTTTCGTAATTTCGACTTTATTCT